GAACCTCAACTGACAAGCTTTTATATCTTGTTGCAAAGAGTTCAAGTCATTCCTTTATTAAGTGCAGAACGACTTTCTTATGACGACGAACATTCAAAAGAAACTTTTGGGAAAGGAACAACATCAGTGTGCTTATATGACAAAGTATCGTTAAAGCTTCTGCGAGGATTAAAAGAATTCACGGCCTCTTTTTGAATGGTCTTGTCTCATGAATAAATGGAGTTATGCTACAGGTCACTCGAATATACTCATAACAGATGAAAGTTCCATTTGAGAATATTTTGTGAAAGAAAGAGAAAGGGATTACTTGTCTTCCAAACAACTCTACAAACTGCTACTCGAAAGAAATAGACTCGATAAAATGGCTTAAAACTGGAAGCAATGCAAAATCACTTGTGAAAGAATCTATTCTTTGACAAAGAAACTGGGAAAACTTTAGAGGAGGCGTTATCAGCCAAAATGATTTCCTCAATGTTTCTTATTTGGTTGTGAAGAATTTGTATTAAACAAATATTTAGTTATGACGTGCTTTCCTATGGAATGCAAGTATTTGAGGAAATGACATGCTTGGTGCTAGATTCTTATTCCAACTTGTTGCCCAATGAGAGTGACAATAGGACCAATCACTTTAAAAGTTTTCAACTGTTGTTAAATCGTCAGCTCTCTCTTGAAGGGGTCTATCTCAAAGCTCTACATGGCGACATAATTTAATGTATGTTATAAACTCTTTTGTAAGATTACATAGAGGTTGACAATTTTCAAAACTTATGCATTAGAATCGATCACGAGCTGTCTCAACTTTGAATAGTTGCAAAAGTTAAGTGAAATCCGACTGAAGGAACTTCAAACACAGTCACATTGCTTTGATATGGCTAATTTTCATCATTTAGTATCAAAAGTATTTTATGTGGAACATAGTTAGTTTGATTGGAATAGGCTTTGTAACGTAGAATTCAGTTGTATAGGTCTAAAAATTGCGAAGAGCAAGACTGCCAACAGATATTAACTTCGTCTCAACTTGTGAGGTTCTCTTTATAGCTGATAGCGTCAATCAACTTTTGCCAAGTGTGCAATAAAATATGCCTATAATTAGCTAAACAAACAGTTTAGAAATTGGACAACCATAGACCAAGAATTTTTATGATTCTGCTTGCGACTTCTTTATTAAGAGTTTCTCGGGCAGCTGTAAATTTCTTGCTTTTTATAGAAAACCGCTTCAGGTGACTACGAGTCATATCTAACAATGGCAAAAACATACAAACCCTTTCCTATTTGGAATTCTGCAAGTGCGTTGTGTACGAATGCTATGAAATTACAGTGGTTTGGCTAGATTTGACTGGTATTTGCTTATATGGTATGAACCTGCGTACGTTGCTGGTGACCCTCTTCAACTTGAAAGATGGGAAAAGTACCTTCATCTTTTAATCTCTGATGGACAAAAGTTGAGGTAAAAGTTATTATCTTCCTATGATTACAAGATAGCACTGTACCAATATGAAAGAGAAAAAACGAAAGAAAATCAAAGATTCTCCTCGAGACTTCATAAGGTTAAAAAGTCACAAGTCGATAAGGAGCGTCTTGGTTCTTTCACCAAATGTTGGCAACAATAAAAAGGAGTGGTACCTTACAATAATGAATTGATCAAATTCAGAGAGTTCAGCTGCTTTCGTATCAACTAAAGAGCTGACAGGAACATCACTTTAAAATTACCGCTTTTTCTCTTCTCTTAATAGCATAGAAATGGGGAGTTCGTTATTTGGTAACTTTTTAACAGTTTCCATTTTTTCAGATATAAAACTGACTGGAACGTTTTTTGTCACTATAATCACTAGTTATACAAGAAACTATAGCTTCTGTGAAAGAAAAGAATGCTCGACAATCCACCTTCATTATAGCCTTGTCACATTTTTATTGAGGTACAATTGAATACAGTAGACATATGATAGGTGGTTTCTAAAAGTTGCGAAATATTTAGCACCCGCCAAAGATATCAGTTTTTAATGGACTAGTGGAAATTTCGTATCCTTGCTGCTTTTCTAAACCTTTTTGACTTGTTTCTGATATGACTGTATCGGAATTCTGCTTCAACACACATCTTTGATTCTTCTCGTATCCGAGACAGACCACTCTTTCATTTATATCTTTTACAAAACCCTTGTTCTTAAAACAAAAGAGTCCAAGTAGCCATAAAGTTTTCTCATATAAACCATAGAAAGACTTAGCCAAAAAACAACACACAACTATTGTTTCCCATAAAAATAAAATCCACCTTCATCTATTCACTAAAGATTTCACTGTCTTCATCAGCAGTCTCATAAAAATATGAGAGAACCCCTGCAATAACTGAAAACAAACCACATAGTTGAGCTAGTTTTTCATATTCTGTCAAAAAATGTTCCAAGTCCACGACAGAAGAAGAAGGTTCAAAAATAATGTGGACTAGACCACTTTTGCCAGGTTGACCAATATCACCAAAATAACTTCCTCCTGCACCTCCTTCACCATTAGGTATACAAGTCATACTCATATGGTTTCCCTCCAGAACCACCTCGTGAAGTAGCGCCGTCGCTTCCAGAACCTCCGTCTTTTATAGTAGGTCCTTCACCACTACCCGGGCCACTGGTACTGCCAGCTTTACCACCGCCACCAGCCAGGTCGAGGAAAGTAAAACTCTCTCCATTTTTCCTCCATATCCTGGGTTGCCACCACGTCCACCTTCACCAAAAACAGCTTCTGCTTCGTTCCAGGTTCTACAGTTGTATCTCCACTAACGGGAATAACAGAACAAAGCGTTACTCGTGTGTAGCCAAGTTCAGGTATTGTCAAGATATGTAAACCAAAACTATCAAACGAACGAGAAACCTTTGGTCAAACTTGTCCTATTTGGGTAAGGAAAGAAGCAGTAGCGCCATCTTGCAAAAAAGGATCCAGCGAGCTTCCTTCTAAACACTCTTGAAACTGAATACGATGACCTCCTCCTTGAATACACTCATAAACTCTTCCTTCTATCGACAAAACATTTCCTGACGGAAACAAAATGGATAAAAAACTTGTATCCAGCAAAGAATCATTCACTTTCAAACTAGTTTCTTCTAAACCAGATTCTCCAACAATCTGGAATATCGGCTGTAATATCCACTGGAGAAACTAAGGTTGTAGAGAAGACTTTGTACAAGGTATGGTTTTTTATCAACACCTTACTTCCAGACACAACATGAATATCCGGTCCTCTAGGAACTTATACTGTATAAGTACTCGGATCAGAATAAATTATCTAGCGATATTCTCCAAGCATCAAAATACATAAAAGAATCAGAAAAATCCTGCAATACATTTATACACAAGCAAACTGGAATTATTGGCTACTTGTGACATATAATTGTTATCTGTTTGCTTCTTTCCACGAGACATTTCTAAAGTACACTTAGATGACTATGTGACGATCAGCTTCCTCTTGGATTCTGAACATGGTTATTCTTAGAAAGCGGTCTGACACTTTAAGAGAATTCAAAAAAATGATTTGTTGGTATTCTTCGCTTGTTAAATCAATAATAGAATGGAGCTAAAGTTCCTAGAAGAATAATAAACCTATATAGTCAGTAGATTGCAGCGAAACCCTGGTTCAGTATCTAAGGACATATAGAAGACTATTAACTATCACTAAATTGTTCTTTTC